TAACAATTTTTAACAATTAGTAACATTTTTTAACAGTTGGTAACAAATTTTAACATATAATTCTTAGCATGTATATATATATATATATATATATATATATATATATATATATATATATATATATATATATATATATATATATATATATATATATATATATATATATATATATATATATATATATATATATATATATATATATATATATATATATTATAATTATTCACCTACCCAAGGCCCGAGGGGGCCACAACAGTCAAGAAGGCTACACATAATGTAAATTGTGGTACAATCCTCTCTCAACTTTTTAACTCCGAAACAGGAACCTTGACAAGCAAGGCCGCTGCGCAGAGAACTTAAGTACCGCGCTTCCAGGGACATTGTTCGAGTCGATCCCCAAACCTCTTGCTTACAAAGCGAGAGCTCTTACCACTACTCCACTACCACATATTTAATATAATGTTTTGCCTTAAATTATTTTTACTGAACATTGTAATATCTTAAGGTATTATTTTGTATTTCATGTAAACTTTTTAATTTATACTTTAAGGTGTTTATAATAATATTATAAACACCTTAAAGTATATTATACCATGGTATATTATACCATAAAAACTTCTATAAACTATATTTTAGCATTAGACTTATGTGTTAAGAGTACAGAGGTAACCTGATGAAAATTATGATAGTGTTTTTACTTTTATTTAGTAGTCAAAATACCTTAATCACAGAGATAATTATGATCACTTTTTCCAATCTTGTATTTTTTTTTTCTTTATTATTCACAAGAGTACAGAAGTAACCTGATGAAAATTATTTGTTGTTTTTTAATTATGATATTGGTTTTACTTTTGTTTAATACAGAGACAGGTGTCTGCAGACAAGAATTTTTTAGTTCTTGATGTTCAATAACATCTTGTGAGTCACTATCATAATTTTTATCAGGTTACTTCTGTACTCTTAACACATAAGTCTAATGTTAAAATATAGTTTATAGAAATTTTTATGGTATATTATAAACACCTTAAAGTATACATTAAAAAGTATACATGAAATACAAAATAATACCTTAAGATATTACAATGTTCAGTAAAAATAATTAAAGGCTAAACATTAACGGAGTTAATAAGTGTATACTTTAGTCAACAAATAATAATTAAAAGTTAGTAAAGTACTTGTTTTACTCAAAGCCAAATAAAAAATAAAGGTTGAATAAATATATAGAAAAATATATAGGAAAATAAAGGTGGGGGATGATGACAATGATGATGAGATGATACAAAATATAGCATGAAAAATACAATATATAATGAATTTTATTTAAATACATAAAAAATACAAATTTGAATAAAATTTTAGGATGCATTAACATTTAAGCAGCTCTGGTCATAGATCAGCAAATTAAATCAGTGAAATTTTGTGTGATATTATGCTGAGAAGATCAAAATGCTAAATCATCCTCTAGTTCATCTATTTCAATATTCTTATCACTTTTATCTAAATCGTTATCAGAAAAAGCTTCAAATTCACTAATTTTATTATCAATTTGATAAGAAATATTGAGGTTATTATCCAGAGCAGTGGTATTGGAAGGCTCATTATCTGAAGTGTTCAACCCATGTTTTTGGCAATTGCTTTGAAAGACTGTTTTGGGCAAGGCGTCAATAGGCTGAGGAAAATAAAACCCAGTTTTACCTATGTAATCATAGTTATATGTTCCATCAATAACCATTTCCCCTTGATTGATTTCGGACAAATAATTAAATAAAAGTTAAAATAAAATAATTTTACCTTCTCGAATTTTTTTTCTTTCAGTCCAATAGCTTATAGCTAAAACCAAGATTACTAAATATACAGGATGTGATATAATGAAAATTATATACTTAAATGAAAGCATAAATATATTTTTCTCTCCGTAAAATCTACATTAAAAATATTTAGCGGCATGCATTTTAGTACCTTTAGCGAGCCATTAATGATACGCTTATGGTCCGGCAATAACTAGCCAGTTCTGGTTCGTCAGCTAAAGCCTTTAACTGGATCACATGTGATTGCAAATTGTCTGAAGACTGCTGCGAAATTCTTGATAACTTGCAAGATCTAGAATCTTCTATTGCTGATGATGTTAAAATGTCACTTATTCACATTGCTGGTTATGTTACACGAAATAATAAAGAACGAACTGATTATGAGCTTTTAGATCAAACAACGTTCTATTATCAGAAATATGATCAGTTTTCTAAATTTTTGGATCGTGGTTGATTACAAATTCCAACTGATAATTCGTGCCAATGAACATTTTTTTGTAGTAGTTTTTTTTTTCAGATTTTTTAACAGTTTTAATCAAAATTTACCTAATATTTTTTGTTGGTTTAATAACATTTCTACTCAATATAAGAAAATATCAATTTCGTATTTAGCCAAAACTAAAGGTGAAATAATATAATTATGTAGATGTGTGAAATTTGAAATTAGATAAAATTTCTTTGCTTTTTATTTACATTGTTTATTACTTAATATTAACTTTTTTTTTTCATCAAAAAAAAATATTAGGCTATACCGAGAATTAAAATTACTTTTTAGTTTTAAAATTACGAAGTTATTATCTTTTTCGCCGTAAAAAAGTAGGCCTCCACAAAAAAACCCGGTTGCGCGATGAATAGGCCTGTAGTAGAGAACGCAATGTTTAAAACGCATTTATTATTGATTTCCTGCCCCAACCAAACCCTGACCCAAATCATGTACATTTAATTCCCATATACATTTAATTTCGCCATTTTGTCAGTAGATGTATGTACATTTATTTTTGCCGATCCCTATTTGTCAATTAATGTATGTACTTTTAGTTGCGCCGATTCCTTTTTGTCAGTCGATGCATGTACATTTGTAATTAATTTTAGAAAAATAGAAAACGACAATAAAACCCGTGTCGCGTAGTTAAAAAATTAATTTCTTAAATTTTGAAAACAGTGCTAAAATGTTTTTAATGAGATGGTGGAATATTAGCGTTTTTAATGTGGATTTTTATACTTTAACATTAAATTAGAGTACTTCCGACAAGTTTTCAGACCTATGTTTTTATTTGACTTAGAATCAGTATCATGTGTTCTATAATAATCAATCATAAAAACAGGGAAAGGGGAAAGAAAGTCAAGTAGTGCCCACTCACTGTGCCTATAGCTATATAAATCAGTAGATGTATTTATGCTGCGATGCGCCTATCTCTATATATCCCAATTTTCCTATCCTCTAAATATCCCAGTTTTTAAACGTCAAAGGTTTGAAAAGAGAGACTACCGTAACTTGGGTGATAAAAAGAATAAATTAATCTAACGTGCGGCTTTTTTAAAGTAAACGACAAAATCTTTATCGAAAGATCAAAAATTCAATATTGAATTGTTTGTAATCATGTAAATAAAAATCATTAGGTAATAATATACTTATAAAAATTCTTGGGTTTAAATTGATTAACTTTTATTTTCATTATTGAGGCTCACCTATTTCTAATTTTAGTACCTTTTTGTTTTGTATTTGCTGACTAAGTCTGCAAAAACAAAACAAAAACAAAACAATAATTTTACAAAAGTCTAATACTTTTGTAAAATTCCTTGTTAATGCATCAAAGTGTACGTTAAGCCTATTTTGTTAGCAAACATATGGCAACTGTATATAAATTTTTTTTTTTTTAAATGATCATCATTCTATCTTTTTAAATGATCTGTCTGTTTTAATGATCATCATATCTGTCATATGAAGTTTAATGTTGCGTGTACAATAAACAACTTTACCTAATAACGTAAGTTTGACTAAGAGCTATTATCTTTGATTTCTTACTGATTTTTGTAAACATAACCTAATTTCTTTGATTTAGGAGACATTCTGTGGAATTACCCATCATAATGATGGGTCATTCCACAAAATGTCTCTAAACTAAATCTAGGAAAACAAGCGGATCAGGATAAAATCATGGAAATCCACCTTTGAATATTGGCAGACACCCTGTTCCATATGAATTCATCCACACACAAAATTTTTATCACTTTTACATTTCAGATTAGTTTATTTTTGGCAATCTTTAATATCAAGTTCACTTGCATCTTCTACAATCTCTATCTACCGAATTCATTATAAAACCATGCAGTATAGTCTAATTTTTTAATGTTAAATAAAATCTCTTCCTTATTTTTGTTTTTTGGAATAATTTAATGTATTCACATTTTTTGTCTATAACTTATTGTATTTGAACTAATAGAAATAAAATAATGGTTGTTGTTGTTTTGGAACTGTTCTTGTCAATTCCATTAAAAGTAACTTAAAACAAATGCCTGTTATTTTGAGTTTACACAAAAAATAGATCAACATTCAAATCTGTTTATGTTATATTTAACACACAAAATCTGCCCATTAGATATTTGTTTTGAACTTTTTTAACAAACTACTATTTTAACAGTCGCACAAATACCATCACAGAAAGATTTGTCGTAGCTGGTAGCAAAAAATACTCATTCAGCATTTAAATCAAAGTCTATGCTGTGATAAGATAAATTGAAAGATAAGTTTTGAAAGTTTTAAAGTTACATTGCACAGCCATCAGAAAAATACTTCCCACGTGATACAAAAAAACCATGTGTCATGGTTATATTCTTCTGAAAGGTAATAAAAACATTTTTGTTTGAGAAATGTTTTTTCCTAAAAATAAATTACAATTGTAAAAAGTGAACACTGAATTTTCGCAACAGTGATAATCAAAAGTTGAAAAGTAAAAAATTTATTTTTATTACATAATTACAACATATTGTTATTAATTTTTTTTATTGTTGACTAAATTTTGTGTCTTGTTTTATTAAGTATTTTATGTCTTGTTTTATTAAATTTTTATGCTTTGTTTCATCAAATATTTTCTGTAATAAAGAACATACATGTATGTATCTTTATTACATATAATACATTTGGAAATATTGTTGATGCTATGTTGTATACTAAATTAAAATATTCTTAGAAACATTTACTATACAAAAGCAAACATTTAGGAAGAGTCAGAATTTGCGATCCTGGAGATTATCCCATAGATGTTCAGCAAGCTTTGGAAAGATCTATAGAGTTTTATGAGTAAATATATTTATTTTTACAACTTTGTTTATTGGATCCTTTTGTAAATAGTCTAACATATTTTTTATTTGGCTAACTGGTCACATGACTTTGATTCTTTTTCAAATATACTTATTTGTTATTGATATAACATTCTTTCATAAACTTTTACTAAATGAAGATAAAGACAATTAACAACATTTTGTTTTAGTAAATAAAACATAACTATAAACAAATTGGTTTCATTGTAAGAACCACAGAGTATTTTTTCAAGATTTCTATCTTTGATACAATCTCGTGCATAGAGTAATGGAATTATTTGCTTTAACATGTTGGAATACTATGGTAAACATGTTAGTATCTCATGCTCACTACAGTCACTATCTAGTAGAACACAGTTTAGTTTTTTAAGGAGCTTTTAAAGGAGGTTCAGAGAACAATTTAGGTTAAAATTGCAGAACATGATCCAGAAGGTCCAATAAATTCATGGAATATCAAAATTTAATTATTGGAGTTTTTATTTTAGGTATCTAGTAAATAAAACAGTTAACATAAACTTTCACTGTTGATAATGTCTATGATGAGCATGGTTTGTAATAATAATCATCACATTTTCTGCAATCATTACATTATCTCATTTGTTTTGCAATACATTATGGAATTATTACATCGTCTCATTTGTTTTGCATCATAATGTGCAATCATTACATCATCTCATTTGTTTTGCACCACATTAGTGAAAAATGCTTAATTTTTAATTACCAAAGTAATATATTTAAAAAATTCACTTTCAATCTTGACCATTTCAAGGTTGGAATTTTAAAAACATATGAAAACAAATTCACAAAGTATATATTACCTTTGCAATGGATTTATAGATCGATAAATGAGAAGCAAATCAGGATTTTGTGAAATTCTAGAAGTTACTGATAATAAAGAAAAGTGTTGGGAAGAACAACTTTAATACTGCAGTATGATTAACAAAATTGAATAATAACATTATTTGTGATTTCATCTGACAAAAATAAAAAATGAAGTCAAACAGTATTTCAAGATTCCAAATTTTTCTTTTAAAACTTTGAAAACAGTATGATCCAGATAATATGTATGGTCCAAATAATGAAGTCAAACAGTATAATGTAAACATTATCAAAAAATAAAAAATAAAACAGAGAGTAATTTATTATTATTTTTCAAAATCGCAAAATTTTATTTTGAAACTTTGAAAACAGAATGATCCATAACAATCACTAAATTCAACTCTTGTATGAATTCATCATCAAATTAGATTTTTCTCACATTATATCATCAATATAATAAATCAATTTTGTCATCATCATCATCATCATCATCATCATCATCATCATCATCATCATCATCATCATCATCATCATCATCATCATCATCATCATCATCATCATCATCATCATCATCATCAACATCATCATCATCATCATCATCATCATCATCATCATCATCATCATCATCATCATCATCATCATCATTATATTCTCAATAAATTTCATGAGGCAAGAAATAATATTTTAGTGTTTGGTTTTCATAACTATCTGCTATTATTTTTTCTTTATTTTCACGATTTTTATTGCTGTATATTATTTTCATTGCATGTAGAGTTTTTTAATGATCACCTGGTTGTTAGTTTTAAAACTAGTAGTTTATCTTCTAGAGGCTGCTAATGGCTAGAGAGTTTAATGACTAGACTGCATTTAGTAACCTTGGTAATGCTCATGTTTCTCTTTGAGAATTTCAAATAGCTATACAATATTACTAATGAGAAAATTTCAAGCATAAATTTTTTTCAGAGGTCAGTATAAATTTGTTTTTTATATTTTAATTGTTTTTTACTTGTATTTCTCTTATAATATATATTTTATTTGATCATCTTTTTATTTGCAAACTTTACCTTTTTTTTTAGCGGAAAATTCTTGAAAAGTTAGACTATTACCTTTTACATTAAAAAAATATTATTTATAAATAATTATTTTGTCTTTGTCAAAACGAAAAAGAAGCTTTACAGTTTGCAAATTATTAAAAAAAAAATACTTCATATAAAATAAATTAAAAATGTAGATGTAGATCAATACCAAATAAAAGATATCTATAGACAATTACCATATAAAACCTTAAGTTTTTTTCAAGTGCTTTTGTAGTTTAAAAGTATAACAAATAGATTTAAGTTATTGCAAAAAAGTGAAATTAAAAAGGACTAAAATCAATTAAAAGAAGAGAATGTATACATATACAAATTTAACTTCAGGGTATAAATTATATAACTCAAGCAAACACTCTCAATGAACTTAAATTAGGTGGTTTTGCTGCAAATTCAATGTACTGCTAAAGATGTAGTGGTCTTTTATTTGTCTTTGCATATAACCTTTATATGCAGAACCTTTTTCAGTTATTTATGCACAATGAAACAAAGTATTTTTTCCTGGATATATTCTTGTAATTAAACTCATCATTTAGCTCATTAAAATGGCTCCAACTTTCAGGCTATTCTTTTCCGATTTAATTAATTTTTTTTTTTTTTTTTATTTAGCTTCCAGCTTGTAAGCTTTTTTTTAATCCAGTTTTTTGTTTTTAGGCTGTTTTTTTAACTTCCATCTTTTATGGGTTTTTTTCCATCTTCCAACTTTAAGGCATTTTTTCTTATTTTTTGTGTGCTGGCATTAATTTTTAAATGTTGAACTTCAAACGGTGGACTGATGAAAAAGAAAAAGGTAAAAAAATGTATGCTGGGAATAAAACTCCTTAAAGCTGGAGGCTAGAATTAATAAACAATCCTGAGAGCTGGAAGCTTAAAATGAAAGAAAAAAGATTTGAATGAAGAAATAGCTAAATAGCTAAATTTGCATATTTAGCAATTTATACCATATTTATAAAAACAAGCTTTTAATATATATATATATATATATATATATATATATATATATATATATATATATATATATATATATATATATATATATATATATATATATATATATATATATATATATATATATATATATATATATATATATATATATATAGGCATATTTCTACATATGTATATATATATATATATATATATTTTATAGTACAACTTTAGTGTAATATGTATATATATATATATATATATATATATATATATATATATATATATATATATATATATATATTTTACATTAAAGTTGTGCTATAAAAATTTAATTAATTTACTGCACTACTGCAATTTTTTTATGCACTACAGTAGTGTAATAGTAAAATAATACCAGTATATTTATATAGTAGTCCACTTTATAAATATACTTTTACTATTTTTTCTTTTTACTTTTAATTTGGAATCTTCTTAATTAATGATGTAATGGTGTAGTGATTTGTAAGTGAGAGGTTCTGAGTTCAATTTCCACCATGTTCCTGGTTACACTACAATCAGCTATAGTTGAAAAAGAAGTCTATATTTTATGAACATGTTTTTTTTACAAGCTTTAGGTTTTTATTTAATATTTGATGCGTAGTTTTAATTTTTATTGCAGGTTGTTTTGTACTCATGGTAACATAAGTACAAAAACTTATGGTAACATAAGTAAAAAAAACAAAATTTAAGCATACCAGTAGTTACACAAAAGAACTAAAATTTAAAAACTTTATGCACATAAATTTGCTGTATGGTCACAAACAATCAATCAACACTTAAGGGAAAAATGAGGTTTTTTAGAATAAAAGAGATTTATTTTTCAAACAAAGCATATTTTGTTGGTTGTCAAGACAAAAATAAAGATTATTAGATGAATATTCAAAAATATACATACACGATGGCAAAAATAAGACAGACAATGCTCCCAAACAGTAACTTACATTTAAATTTTTTTTTTTTTTTTAAACAAAATTAAACAGATATACAACAAATATCACCAAACAAAAACTTTAATACAAAAAACAAAAACAAAAATTTAATACAAAATAAAAAGTATGTATACAAAAATTTAAAGTCTAAGAATGAAAAAAATAAATAAATAAATCATTTACCACACCACTGGTAGAAAATATGAACTCACAATAAATTAAAATTCGAATGAAAACACCAAAGCAAAACTAAAATAACTCAAGTATGTAAACAAAAGTAATAATATATTTCCCTCTAAGACAATTAAAAACAAATATGTGCTTCCAGCATAAATAAATCAAAGACAATCTAATTGCAATATACCCTATTAAAAACCCTTTTAAATTAAATAAAACACAATAAGTCTTATAGAGTCAATAAGTTTTATAAATTATACACAATAAGTCTAAAAAAGTCTACAATAATAACTCTAGCTTAGTCATAGATACTTCATTTGAATTTTGTTAATCTAAAATGTAAGATTGTAAATGTAACAAAAATTAAATAATATATGATATTATATGTAAAAAACATTGCACAAAAAAAAAAATCATTGAAAATGTTACCTGCTAAAATGTAAAGATTTAAACATGTAGGATATAAGATCGTTTTAAAACACTAAAGTTGTGAAAATTAAAACAAAACTGAATAAAGAATATGAAATAATATAGCATAAAAATTCCTTTATAATAGTAATAATATGAAAATTAATTGATAAATAATATATTCGAAAATACTGAAATATGACTTAAATTAATGCTGTAACAAGGTTAAATAAATTTTAGCCGGATGTATGGTTAATAAAATATTTTAGTTGATATCACAATAATTTAAGGTGTGATATAAAAATGATTTAAGATGTGGGAAAAAATATTTTTTAGAAATAAAGTTTTCTCTTGTGGACAAGTTATGTCAAAATCAGGAAAGTTTACTGTTAGTCCTTAATACTTAATTTTTCCAGATTTTGGTCAGTTATTTGGTCATATATTTTCAATTGTTGCTTATTGATGTATAGATCAAGTAAGCTAAAACTTGCAGGGTTGATTTTTATTAATATATAAAATCTGTTGATTGAAAAAATTTGAACTAAATCTGAGGTGGTAAGCAAATTTATTTTCACTTAGAAAAGTAAATTATTTTCATATGGAATAACCTATAAACCATGAGTTCACTTTGTAATGTAATTATGTAGATAGTACGTAGTATGAACACTTAAAATGTAAACTTACAAAAAAAATTAATAAACAAAAAATATAAATGAATAAAATATATAAATGAATAGGTAATTTCAAAACTTTCTTTAACAAGGACAACCCTAATGTACTATGCATTATATACATAACTAGATAACATATAACAAAGTTATATAAGTAGTAAGTAAGAGTTATTTCTGATGTACTGTGTAAGTATATTACTAATTAGTAAGTATAGTAATTTTTTGGAAGTTTGACAACTTCTGTCTCTAATCACCTACCTCAATTTTGCACTTGTCCCAATTTCAACAAATTATTTATACCACGAAGTCACAAAATATATCGTAAAAATTTTAAAGACTTTGATAAAGAAAAATTTAGATCTGACTTATTAAAGTGTGATTGGGATGATATTATAAAAAACAGTGACACTAACTCTTGTTTCCATAAGTTTATTACTAAAACAACATCGATTTTAGATCGCTATGCCTCACTCAAAAAGACTAGTATTAAGAGCTTCAAACGTCAATTTAAACCATGTATTACAAAAGGAATCATAAAATCTATTCAAATTTTTTTCAAAAAAAAATGTTAAGATCAAAAGATTTAATAAATATAAACACATTTAAAACTATTTTTATGCAATATAAATTCATGATAATTACTTTAATTAAACTTAGCAAGAAAGTCCATTTAAAAAATTTCTTTTCAGATAATGTAGAAAATCTTTGCGAAATTTGGAAAAGCATTAATAATCTAATAAATGTCAAAAAGTATAACAGCTTATCTCCCAACTGTTTACAATAAATATTTAGATGATGATATTTAACTGAACTGAATCTAATCTCTGAAAAATTTAACAATTTTTTTACAAATGTTGCTCATAAACTTAAATCCAATATTCATTCGTCTTACGTCAACTATCAAAAGCTCTTAATATCCAAACTTACATAGTCTACTCTTATCTCCAACAAACATTCCTGAAATTTCATCTCTTATATCTAAATTGAGGCCGAGAAAATCATTAGGTCCAAACAGTATTCCTGCAAACATTTTTATTGATTTTAACTACGAACTTTCAAATATTCTCTTTAAACTATTTAATATCTCATTCATAAATGGAACTTTTCCTGATATTTTAAAATTATCTTGTATTATTCGACTTTTCAAAAATGGCTCTATGCTTTTATGTACTAACTATAGACCTATTTTTCTTTTTTTTTTGGTTTTGATCTTATCTTATGGACTGGAAACAATATGTAAGTATTAATGGTTATACTTCTAGTAACAAATGTGTTACATGTGGTGTTCCTAAAGGTTCCGTTCTTGGTCCTCTTTTGCTTTTAATTTACATTAATGATCTAAGTAACTCTGTTCACTTCTCGTTGGTTTATCTATTTGCAGATGATGCCAATCTCTTGCATGTCAACAAATCATACTATTCTCTATGTAAAAATATAAATTCAGATCTTAAAGGTATAGTTCATACTATTCTCTATGTAAAAATATAAATTCAGATCTTGAAGGTATAGTTCATTGGTTAAATGACAACCTAATATGTCTTAATATCGAAAAGACTGAACTAATTTTTTTTCATCTCCTAGAAAAAACTGTAACAACAACAGAAAAAACTGTAACAACATTGAAATTAAAATCAAAATAAATAATAAACGACTATATCCCTCGAGAGTTATTAAATATCTTGGTGAGTTAATTGATTGCAATCTTTCATGGAACTTCCAT